CTTTAAGTATGTTTGGTGGCTCAGAACCATCAAAAAACGTTGAAATATAGTTCAAATTCTATAAAAATCTACAAAAATACAGTTTCTAGCTAAAATTTGATGGTTTCGTTGCTCTTTCCGAGCCCGTGGGGTGTCTGAGTGGCTTAAAAGTACAAGAAAACACTACAAAAGTGACGTTTCTGAAGAATTTTACCAATTTTCTGGTATCTACGAACGCCAGAATGCATAAAATTGAGCTAAACGTCTCCTTTTCCTAATCAGAGACGATTCTGCATGCTTTAAGTATGTTTGGTGGCTCAGAACCATCAAAAAACGTTGAAATATAGTTCAAATTCTATAAAAATCTACAAAAATACAGTTTCTAGCTAAAATTTGATGGTTTCGTTGCTCTTTCCGAGCCCGTGGGGTGTCTGAGTGGCTTAAAAGTACAAGAAAACACTACAAAAGTGACGTTTCTGAAGAATTTTACCAATTTTCTTGTATCTACGAACGCCAGAATGCATAAAATTGACCTAAACGTCTCCTTTTCCTAATCTGAGATGATTCTGCATGCTTTAAGTGTGTTTGGTGGCTCAGAACCATCAAAAAACTTTGAAATATAGTTCAAATTCTATAAAAATCTACAAAAATTCAGTTTCTAGCTAAAATTTGATGGTTTCGTTGCTCTTTCCGAGCCCGTGGGGTATCTGAGTGGCTTAAAAGTACAAGAAAACACTACAAAAGTGACGTTTCTGAAGAATTTTACCAATTTTCTTGTATCTACGAACGTCAGAATGCATAAAATTGACCTAAACGGCTCCTTTTCCTAATCTGAGACGATTCTGCATGCTTTAAGTGTGTTTGGTGGCTCAGAACCAACAAAAAACGTTGAAATATAGTTCAAATTCAACAAAAATCGACAAAAATACAGTTTCTAGATAAAATTTGGTGGTTTAGTTGATCTTTCCGAGCCCGTTGGGTATCTGAGTGGCTTAAAAGTACAAGAAAACACTTCAAAAGTGACGTTTCTGAAGAATTTTACCAATTTTCTTATATCTACGAACGCCAGAATGCCTAAAATTGACCTAAACGTCTCCTTTTCCTAATCTGAGACGATTCTGCATGCTTTAAGTGTGTTTGGTGGCTCAGAACCATCAAAATACTTTGAAATATAGTTCAAATTCAATAAAAATCTACAAAAATACAGTTTCTAGCTAAAATTTGATGGTTTCGTTGCTCTTTCCGAGCCCGTAGGTTATCTGAGTGGCTGAAAAGTACAAGAAAACACTACAAAAGTGACGTTTCTGAAGAATTTTACCAATTTTCTGGTATCTACGAACGCCAGAATGCATAAAATTGACCTAAAGGTCTCCTTTTCCCAATCTGAGACGATTCTGCATGCTTTAAGTGTGTTTGGTGGCTCAGAACCATCAAAAAACGTTGAAATATAGTTCAAATTCAATAAAAATCGACAAAAATACAGTTTCTAGCTAAAATTTGATGGTTTCGTTGCTCTTTCCGAGCCCGTAGTATATCTGAGTGGGTTAAAAGAACAAGAAAACACTTCAAAAGTGACGTTTCTGAAATATTTTACCAATTTTTTTGTATCTACGAACGCCAGAATGCATAAAATTGACCTAAACGTCTCCTTTTCCTAATCTGAGACGATTCTGCATGCTTTAAGTGTGTTTGGTGGCTCAGAACCATCAAAAAACGTTGAAATATAGTTCAAATTCAATAAAAATCGACAAAAATACAGTTTCTAGCTAAAATTTGATGGTTTCGTTGCTCTTTCCGAGCCCGTAGGGTATCTGAGTGGATTAAAAGTACAAGAAAACACTTCAAAAGTGACGTTTCTGAAGAATTTTACCAATTTTCTTGTATCTACGAACGCCATAATGCATAAAATTGACCTAAACGTCTCCTTTTCCTAATCTGAGATGATTCTGCATGCTTTAAGTGTGTCTGGTGGCTCAGAACCATCAAAAAACGTTGAAATATAGTTCAAATTCAATAAAAATCGACAAAAATACAGTTTCTAGCTAAAATTTGATGGTTTCGTTGCTCTTTCCGAGCCTGTAGGGTATCTGAGTAGCTTAAAAGTACAAGAAAACACTTCGAAAGTGACGTTTCTGAAGAATTTTACCAATTTTCTTGTATCTACGAACGCCAGAATGCATAAAATTGACCTAAACGTCTCCTTTTCCTAATCTGAGACGATTCTGGATGCTTTAAGTGTGTTTGGTGGCTCAGAACCATCAAAAAACGTTGAAATGTAGTTCAAATTCAATGAAGATCGACAAAAATTCAGTTTCTAGCTAAAATTTGGTGGTTTCGTTGCTCTTTCCGAGCCCGTAGGGTATCTGAATGGCTTAAAAGTACAAGAAAACACTTCAAAAGTGACGTTTCTGAAGAATTTTAACAATTTTCTTGTATCTACGAACGCCAGAATGCATAAAATTGACCTAAACGTCTCCTTTTCCTAATCTGAGACGATTCTGCATGCTTTAAGTGTGTTTGGTGGCTCAGAACCATCAAAAAACGTTGAAATATAGTTCAAATTCAATAAAAATCGACAAAAATACAGTTACTAGCTAAAATTTGATGGTTTCGTTGCACTTTCCGAGCCCGTAGGGTATCTGAGTGGCTTAAAATTACAAGAAAACACTTCAAAAGTGACGTTTCTGAAGAATTTTCCCAATTTTGTTGTATCTACGAACGCCGGAATGCATAAAATTGATCTAAACGTCTTCTTTTCCTAATCTGAGACGATTCTGCGTGATTTAAGTGTGTTTGGTGGCTCAGAACCATCAAAAAATGTTGAAATATTGTTCAAATTCAATAAAACTCGACAAAAATACAGTTTCTACCTAAAATTTGATGGTTTCGTTGCTCTTTCCGAATCCGTTGGGTATCTGAGTGGCTTAAAAGTACAAGAAAACACTTCAAAAGTGACGTTTCTGAATAATTTTACCAATTTTCTTGTATCTACGAACGCCAGAATGCATAAAATTTACCTAAACGTCTCCTTTTCCTATCTGAGACGATTCTGCATGCTTTAAGTGTGTTGGTGGCTCAGAACCATCAAAACACGTTGAAATGTAGTTCAAATTCAATAAAAATCGACAAAAATACAGTTTCTTGCTAAAATTTGATGGTTTCGTTGCTCTTTCCGAGCCCGTAGGGTATCTGAGTGGCTTAAAAGTACAAGAAAACACTTCAAAAGTGACGTTTCTGAAGAATTTTACCAATTTTCTTGTATCTACGAACGCCAGAATGCATAAAATTGACCTAAACGTCTCCTTTTCCTAATCTGAGACGATTCTGCATGCTTTAAGGGCCGGTTGCATAAACGCAAATCAAAAATTTGATTATTGTTAAATCCAGTTAACAATCATCAAGTCAGATAATGCGTTGCTCAAACGCCAATCAGTTGATGTTCATCAAATTTTTTGATGACAATCAAATCCATACGTCAAATACAGAAATCACCAATCATCCGTTGCATAAACGCCAATCAAGGACTTGATTAGCATCAAAACGCATTTTGATTAACGATTAGTTAATTATCCGAAAAGCAGTAATTAAAGTTTGACAGCTGGCGGTTTTACAGCAATTCGACTCCTAAAAACCGAAAATAAATACAAAAAAGGTTCAATTAAATTTTATTCAGATAATTTTAAATACATGTGAAATATACTTTTTGTTGTAACAGCTGTAAATTGTAGTTTACCTCAAAATGTCCGTGTCCTTAACGTTAACGTCCTCCAGTTCCTCTGACGATTCCGATGTTCCTGTTCCTAGAAGACCTCGAATTTTTCGAGACAGGTCCGATCCTTTCGATAGGTACGACGATATCGACTTTAAGCAAAGGTATCGGTTTTCAAAAAATAGCGTGGTGGAAAGTTTAAATCAGATTGGAGACCGGTTAGATCCCTTGACAAACCGTAACAAGGCTCTAAACAGTAGAGAACAACTCCTGATTTGTCTCAGATTCTATGCAACAGGAGCATTTCAACAATTAATTGGGGACTCTGTTTTGGTACATAAATCAACAATTTCAAGAATAATCTACAAGGTCTCCAAGGAAATACTGCGATTGAAGGGCGACGTGTTGAAAATGCCTACCTTGCAAGAAATACCAACAATACATAGAAAATTCTTCGAAATCCGGGGTTTTCCGTGTGTCATAGGGGCAATAGACGGTACGCATATACCAATCCAATCGCCAGGTGGACACTTGGCTGAAACTTATAGATGCCGAAAAGGTTTTTTTTCGCTCAATGTCCAAGTAGTTTGTGACGCGGAGCTTCAAATACGACATATCATAGCTCGCTGGCCAGGATCTGTCCACGATTCCACCATTTTTAATGACTGTCCGTTACCTCCTGAATTAGAACGAGGCATGTATGGCGCTGGATATCTTCTTGGAGACAGTGGCTACGCATGCAAAAGATATCTTTTGACGCCCTTCATTAATCCAAGAAACAGGGCTGAGGAAGCATATAATGCTTCCCACAAAGCGACCAGAAACACAGTTGAAAGGTGTTTTGGAGTTTTGAAACGTCGCTTTCCAGCTTTGTCTATGGGATTGCGACTAAAAATGAAAACTAATATGATGGCAATCGTCGCCTGTGCAATTTTGCATAACCTGGCAATTATTTTTAAAGATGACTGGCCAGAAGATCACCTTGAAATTGAGGAAGACGATGAAGTCATAGGTGGTGACCCCATGGAAGGAAATTTTGCTATGAGAACTCACCTTGTAAATACTATATTTGCAGAAAGAGTTTAACAAAAATGTTTAATAATGATTATTATAAAACTAAAAAAAAACTCTTCGATTTCCAATTATTGAATTTGAATTTTCCAATTCGATTTCTACTTTTTTAATCTGCAAATATTTTAATTGTAAGCCTTTTTGAAAGTTTTTGTTTGTGTTTATTTTGCAAATTCACTAAAAATTATTTTCATTTGTATATTTTTTATTTTTTATTACACTGTTTTTCTTGGAAAGAGGGATTTTATTTTTCTCGTTCGGAATGGAGGAGGCAGGGCTATGAGGTTCAGGATTTCCTGGAAAAAAAATGCGTTAAAAACAAGTAAAGTTATTGAAAATATATCTCGTTATGAGAGGTCAGATTTATAAGATCATGTATGCATGACGATTTGTCCTAGTATACAAACCGAAGTATTGTGCTGTATCTGTTTTTTTTCACCTTTTTTTTGTAAAAAATCAAATCTTCATCTATTATATTTATTTGTCATTTCCAGCTCACCATCACCCACGTCTGCACTCATACCTTCATCCCTGTTGTCTGTTTTAATAGAAATAAACGCTTCCTTCTAAAAATTAATAACCACATTGTATAAAAATATTGTAGATCCAGCTTGTAACTTAATTTTTTCAGCCCTTTCCTTTTTAAAGTTTTGTGTCGAATTTTGATAGTCTGAACATCCCTAGGCCCCTCAATGATGGTAACATTGAATTCGTCTTACATGATCTCAGCAACATTCTCTTCTTGTACAGAAACTGCATCTGTTTTCTAATATATGGGCATATCTACAAAAGAGGAAACCGGATAAGAACAGGCAGGCACGAAAGAAAATATTTTCCGTTGATAAAAGTGAAATTTATGCTTTGATAACGCGGTCTAACCAATTTTACTAGTAACTTATGTGTTTTTAAACGTACTTAAAAACTTACCTCAGAATTATTTGTACTGAGTTTTTTGATGGGCTGTGAAATTTTTCGACCTTTCCATAACTTTGGTACTATCCATCGTGAACAATTTTCAGAGGAACAGTAGCCCAAGAACAACAACAAACTTTAACTTCCACCATTAACGATCACAAATATTTAACATAATCTCAAGATGTGACGCAAATATTTCGCCACATGCTAGTCCGTTGGCCAGGATCTGTCCATGATGAATTAAAACAGGATATCTTCTTGGAGATAGTGGTTACACCTGCAAGAGATACCTTCTCACATCTTTCGTTAACTCTAGAAATCGAGCTGAGGAAACATCACAAAGTTATCAGAAACACAATTGAAAGGTGCTATTGAGTTTTAAACTGGCGATTTCCAACATTGTCGATAGTAACCAATATGATGATCTGCATTTGATGATGGTGACTGCGCGGAATTATATCTTACTGCTGCAGTCCCCCAGTTGAAGTAAGGTGTGTTTTACGGCGAGCAGTGGGGACTCTTTGATGTGGTCCATCACCAGTGCGTCGCGTAAGGAGTATTCACAGCTGATAATAATACTATTTTTGCAGTACTATATTACTTCAAATAATAATACTCGGTGTCCTTTTTAATTTTTCAACCACAGTTATCTTGAAATGTTATATTATGTTGATATAGTCCAAAAGGAAAATATATTTGTCGACGCGGCAGCACTGGGTCGAGCGCCTGAGACTTTATTCCGCGCCTGGATGATGATGAAAATATCATGGCGACCTGGAAAACAAATTTACGATGAAAACTAATCTTGTAAATACGGTATTTTCTGAAAGTTTAATGAAGAAGTTTAATAAGTATTAATTCTAAGAATTTATATTTAAACTAAAATTAAAACTAAAAACACCCTATCTATTGATTAATTACTATTAACAAGTTTTTCTAATTCTAATTCTGCCTTCCTAATTTGTAAATTTTTTAATTTTAAATCCTTCTGAAAAAGTCTTTGCTTCTGACGAATTTCTAAATTGACTAAAAATAATTTTCGTTCGTAAATTTTCTGTTTAATATTTGAACCGCTTCTCTTTGGAACTCGGAATTTTTTTCGGCGGATTGGAATGGAGGAGGAAGGATTTTGGGGTTCGCTGTTGTTAACGTTTCCTGGAAAAAAATCTGTTGTAAAACTAAATGATTTTTTTTAAATCAATCTCAATATCATAAAAGATCATATTAAAAAGATGCATGACCATTTGTTCCAGTATACAAACCAAAATATTGTGCCCCATCATCAAAACTGTTTTCTAACGGCTGGAGTTGATCCGCCAACAACTCTCCCAAAATTGCGTCAGCTCCTGTTGGCAAAATGGGGCTGTAACTTCCACCTCCTGTTTTTTTTGTCTTTTTCTGTAATATTTCGATTGTCATCTATACTCTAGATATACCTACAATATGGTAACCCATACCTTTACTATTGTTTCCAGGACCTGTAACGCTTCCGTAATTTCCATTTCTGGTTCACCTGTGGCCTGGGAGGTTCCCTCACCTCTGTTGTCCAGTTTATTTTCCAGGATTGAAATATATGTTTCTTTCTAGAAATTATTGTGTTGTAAATACTAAAATATTGTACATTCCATTTGTATTTTACATTCTTTTCAGCCCGCTCCTTTTTCAAACTTCTCTTGGTATTTTGGTAAAAAGTCTTGAGCGACTGAACATCCCTAGGTCCCTCTGTAGTGACAGCGTTAAATTCGGTTTTTATTTCCTCCCAACAATTCAGTTTTTGTTTGACGGAAACGGCGTCGGTCTTCTTGTTTTCTATTATATGGGCATATCTATAATAGATGAAACGGGATAGGACCAGGTACGGGAGAACGGAGTTTTCGTAGCTTTATTAATAAAAGTGGAAGAGGTTTAATAAAGGAATATATGTATAAATGGGATCGGGAAACCTCATTGTTTGAGATCCATTATAAAAATAACTTCAAAGACTTTTCAGTATAAAAAATGAATGCAAGACACTGTTTGCTAACTGTTTAATAATAATCAAACTCATTTGCTATTAACTAACCGCTGTTAACCACTTTTACTAGAAACTTCGGTGTTTTTTAACATACCTACCTATAAAAACTTACCTTTGAATTTTTTGGGTTAATTCGCTTTTCTCGTGCCCGGTGAAATTTTTCGATCTCTTAGGTGCTTTTGAACTGGAGCTACTCATCTTGAATGTTTTTAAGAGATAACACACCTCAAAAACACCGACGAAGGCCGCACCAATTCACCACAAAACAACGAATCAAAACGTAAATTTTTAACATAACCTCAAAATATGACGCAAATGCCATGTTATGCTGCGTTGCCGGTTGGTGCGCGCTATCAAATAGCGACTTGATGATAATCAGTTAACAAAGGCTTAATTATTGTTTCAGCAACCCAATCAAAGTTGATGATAATTAAATATTTGATGACAATCAGTTGATTGGAGATTTGATTTGCGTTTATGCAACCGGCCCTAGGTGTATTTGGTGGCTCAGAACCATCAAAAAACGTTGAAATATAGTTCAAATTCAATTAAAATCGACAAAAATACAGTTTCTAGCTAAAATTTGATGGTTTCGTTGCTCTTTCCGAGCCCGTTGGGTTTCTGAGTGGCTTAAAAGTACAAGCAAACACTTCAAAAGTGACGTTTCTGAAGAATTTTACCAATTTTCTTGTATCTACGAACGCCAGAATGCATAAGATTGACCTAAACGTCTCCTTTTCCTAATCTGAGTCGATTCTGCATGCTTTAAGTGTGTTTGGTGGCTCAGAACCATCAAAAAACGTTGAAATATAGTTCAAATTCAATAAAAATCGACAAAAATACAGTTTCTAGCTAAAATTTGATGGTTTCGTTGCTCTTTCCGAGCCCATAGGGTATCTGAGTGGCTTAAAAGTACAAGAAAACACTTCAAAAGTGACGTTTCTGATGAGTTTTACCAATTTTCTTGTATCTACGAACGCCAGAATGCATAAAATTGCCCTAAACGTCTCCTTTTCCTAATCTGAGACGATTCTGCATGCTTTAAGTGTGTTTGGTGGCTCAGACCCATCAAAAAACGATGAAATATAGTTCAAATTCAATAAAAATCGACAAAAATACAGTTTCTAGCTAAAATTTGATGATTTCGTTGCCTTTCCGAGCCCGTAGGGTATCTGAGTGGCTTAAAAGTACAAGAAAACACTTCAAAAGTGACGTTTCTGAAGGATTTTACCAATTTTCTTGTATCTACGAACGCCAGAATGCATAAAATTGACCTAAACGTCTCCTTTTCCTAATCTGAGACGATTCTGCATGCTTTAAGTGTGTTTGGTGGCTCAGAACCATCAAAAAACTTTGAAATATTGTTCAAATTCAATAAAAATCGACAAAAATACAGTTTCTGGCTAAAATTTGATGGTTTCGTTGTTCTTTCCGAGCCCGTTGGGTATCTGAGTGGCTTAAAAGTACAAGAAAACACTTCAAAAGTGACGTTTCTGAAGAATTTTACCAATTTTTTTGTATCTACGAACGCCAGATTGCATAAAATTGATCTGAACGTCTCCTTTTCCTAATCTGAGACGATTCTGCATGCTTTAAGTGTGTTTGGTGGCTCAGAACCATCAAAAAACTTTGAAATATAGTTCAAATTCAATAAAAATAGACAAAAATACAGTTTCTAGCTAAAATTTGATGGTTTCGTTGCTCTTTCCGAGCCCGTAGGGTATCTGAGTAGCTTAAAAGTACAAGAAAACACTTCGAAAGTGACGTTTCTGAAGAATTTTACCAATTTTCTTGTATCTACGAACGCCAGAATGCATAAAATTGACCTAAACGTCTCCTTTTCCTAATCTGAGACGATTCTGCATGCTTTAAGTGTGTTTGGTGGCTCAGAACCATCAAAAAACGTTGAAATATAGTTCAAATTCAATGAAAATCGACAAAAATACAGTTTCTAGCTAAAATTTGGTGGTTTCGTTGCTCTTTCCGAGCCCGTTGGGTATCTGAGTTACTTAAAAGTACAAGAAAACACTTCAAAAGTGACGTTTCTGAAGAATTTTACCAATTTTCTTCTATCTACGAACGCCAGAATGCATAAAATTGACCTAAACGTCTCCTTTTCCTAATCTGAGACGATTCTGCATGCTTTAAGTGTGTTTGGTGGCTCAGAACCATCAAAAAACGTTGAAATATAGTTCAAATTCAATAAAAATCGACAAAAATACAGTTACTAGCTAAAATTTGATGGTTTCGTTGCACTTTCCGAGCCCGTAGGGTATCTGTGTGGCTTAAAATTACAAGAAAACACTTCAAAATTGACGTTTCTGAAGAATTTTCCCAATTTTGTTGTATCTACGAACGCCAGAATGCATAAAATTGACCTAAACGTCTTCTTTTCCTAATCTGAGACGATTCTGCATGCTTTAAGTGTGTTTGGTGGCTCAGAACCATCAAAAAATGTTGAAATATTGTTCAAATTCAATAAAAATCGACTAAAATACAGTTTCTACCTAAAATTTGATGGTTTCGTTGCTCTTTCCGAGCCCGTTGGGTATCTGAGTGGCTTAAAAGTACAAGAAAACACTTCAAAAGTGACGTTTCTGAAGAATTTTACCAATTTTCTTGTATCTACGAACGCCAGAATGCATACAATTGACCTAAACGTCTCCTTTTCCTAATCTGAGACGATTGTGCATGCTTTAAGTGTGTTTGGTGGCTCAGAACCATCAAAAAACGTTGAAATATAGTTCAAATTCAATAAAAATCGACAAAAATACAGTTTCTACCTAAAATTTGATGATTTCGTTGCTCTTTCCGAGCCCGTAGGGTATCTGAGTGGCTTAAAAGTACAAGAAAACACTTCAAAAGTGACGTTTCTGAAGAATTTTACCAATTTTCTTGTATCTACGAACGCCAGAATGCATAAAATTGACCTAAACGTCTCCTTTTCCTAATCTGAGACGATTCTGCATGCTTTAAGTGTATTTGGTGGCTCAGAACCATCAAAAAACGTTGAAAAATAGTTCAAGTTCAATAAAAATCGACAAAAATACAGTTTCTAGCTAAAATTTGATGGTTTCGTTGCTCTTTCCGAGCCCGTTGGGTTTCTGAGTGGCTTAAAAGTACAAGAAAACACTTCAAAAGTGACGTTTCTGAAGAATTTTACCAATTTTCTTGTATCTACGAACGCCAGAATGCATAAAATTGACCTAAACGTCTCCTTTTCCTAATCTGAGACGATTCTGCATGCTTTAAGTGTTTTGTGGCTCAGAACCATCAAAAAACGTTGAAATACAGTTCAAATTCAATAAAAATTTACAAAAATACAGTTCCTAGCTAAAATTTGATGGTTTCGTTGCTCTTTCCGAGTCCGTTGGATAACTGAGTGGCTTAAAAGTACAAGAAAACACTTCAAAAGTGACGTTTCTGAATCATTTTACCAATTTTCTTGTATCTACGAACGCCAGAATGCATAAAATTGACCTAAACGTCTCCTTTTCCTAATCTGAGACGATTCTGCATGCTTTAAGTGTGTTTGGTGGCTCAGAACCATCAAAAAATGTTGAAATATTGTTCAAATTCAATAAAAATCGACAAAAATACAGTTTCTACCTAAAATTTGATGGTTTCGTTGCTCTTTCCGAGCCCGTAGGGTATCTGAGTGGCTTAAAAGTACAAGAAAACACTTCAAAAGTGACGTTTCTGAAGAATTTTACCAATTTTCTTGTATCTACGAACGCCAGAATGCATACAATTGACCTAAACGTCTCCTTTTCCTAATCTGAGACGATTGTGCATGCTTTAAGTGTTTTGTGGCTCAGAACCATCAAAAAACGTTGAAATATAGTTCAAATTCAATAAAAATTTACAAAAATACAGTTTCTAGCTAAAATTTGATGGTTTCGTTGCTCTTCCGAGACCGTTGGGTATCTGAGTGGCTTAAAAGTACAAGAAAACACTTCAAAAGTGACGTTTCTGAAGAATTTTACTAATTTTCTTGTATCTACGAACGCCAGAATGCATAAGATTGACCTAAACGTCTCCTTTTCCTAATCTGAGTCGATTCTGCATGCTTTAAGTGTGTTTGGTGGCTCAGAACCATCAAAAAACGTTGAAATATAGTTCAAATTCAATAAAAATCGACAAAAATACAGTTTCTAGCTAAAATTTGATGGTTTCGTTGCTCTTTCCGAGCCCGTAGGGTATCTGAGTGGCTTAAAAGTACAAGAAAACACTTCAAAAGTGACGTTTCTGATGAATTTTACCAATTTTTTTGTATCTACGAACGCCAGATTGCATAAAATTGATCTAAACGTCTCCTTTTCCTAATCTGAGACGATTCTGAATGCTTTAACTGTGTTTGGTGGCTCAGAACCATCAAAAAACTTTGAAATATAGTTCAAATTCAATAAAAATCGACAAAAATACAGTTTCTAGCTAAAATTTGATGGTTTCGTTGCTCTTTCCGAGCCCGTTGGGTATCTGAGTGGCTTAAAAGTACAAGAAAACACTTCAAAAGTGACGTTTCTGAAGAATTTTACCAATTTTCTTGAATCTACGAACGCCAGAATGCATAAAATTGACCTAAACGTCTCCTTTTCCTAATCTGAGACGATTCTGCATGCTTTAAGTGTGTTTGGTGGCTCAGAACCATCAAAAAACGTTGAAATATTGTTCAAATTCAATAAAAATCGACAAAAATACAGTTTCTAGCTAAAATTTGATGGTTTCGTTGCTCTTTCCGACCCCGTAGGGTATCTGATTGGCTTAAAAGAACAAGAAAACACTTCAAAAGTGACGTTTCTGAAAAATTTTACCAATTTCCTTGTATCTACGAACGCCAGAATGCATATATTGAACTGAACGTCACCTTTTCCTAATCTGAGACTGTTCTGCATGCTTTAAGTGTGTTTCGTGGCTCAGAACCATCAAAAAATGTAGAAATATGGTTCAAATTCAATAAAAATCGACAAAAATACAGTTTCTAGCTAAAATTTTATGGTTTCGTTGCTCTTTCCGAGCCCGTTGGGTATCTGATTGGCTTAAAAGTACAAGAAAACACTTCAAAAGTGACGTTTCTGAAGAATTTTACCAATTTTCTTGTATCTACGAATGCCAGAATGCATAAAATTGACCTGAACTTCTCCTTTTCCTAATCTGAGACGATTCTGCATGCTCTAAGTGTTTCAAGGCTCTGAACCATCAAAAAATGTTGAAATATAGTTCAAATTCAATAAAAATCGACAAA